GAGGCATTGTACAGCTTAAGCAGTTCCCCAGTTTCGCTAGTATTTTGTTAAGTGGTTGCTATGGTTTCCCAGATGGTTGCTATGGTGTTGCTACGTGTTTGCTATGGTTCTGCCCGTGGTCGCTAGGGTGTTGCTAGGTGGTTGCTGTGGTATTTATGTACCCATGTGTCAGCTGTTGGAAATATTTCCAAATTTGAATGCAATCTCTAATGTCTTTAGGTCTTTGTTAAGTACTCAATAAATGTTATTGTCTTTGATGCTTCTTGTTTAAAAAAAATGGCTACTAAACATTGGCCAAAAAGTCAGCCATGGCTCAATTTAACTGTAAGGAAATCAGAATTGCAATTAGTGATACAAATTAGTGATGTGGTATACCCTTAATTATGGAAAAATAATAGACTTTTTACATTACTTAAACATTACTACAGAACACTTCAAAACCTTTCAAAACAGACAGTTCACTCCAGAGTCTACATGGAAATGTTTTGAATTCACTGCTTCTGTGATGTCACAAAAGCCTATGCATTTACATACATCCAGCCCTCAGCCCACGGCAGTTTAGCACTACTTATTCACGCTGAAGTTATAAGAAATGTTTCAGCCAGTTTTGCTATTTGAATAAGGCATAATGCAGGGCAGCCAAGCACAACACCATACATTTACATAGATTAATCCTAAAGGCACAGTAACAAAAACAACCTGTTTAATTTTAAGGGATAAAGAGAGTATGAAAACGAACATGTAAAAAAATATTGTGACTGTTTTTGTTACATAAAACAACACTAATATTATAAACAGCCCTCAAGAGGGAAATATAAAATCTAAAAAAATGTAAGATATGGGCTCTTTGAATGTAACTAAGCGTGTAATGATTTCAAAACAGTATCAATAAATAAAAGTGTGAAACAGTGTATCGTAAATTAAAACTGTGCTGCCAATACACCCCTTGGTCTCTTCCAAGGTTCTATCATTTGCTGTCTTTTGTGGAGGTGGGTGCATCCGTGGAGGTACAGTGTCCAGAGAGAGTCAATAGCTTTAGCGGCTATTACTTTCAATAAGATTTGTTTAGTGGAGCATGTACATATATATGGCCACTGGAACTAGCTGGGCCCACACGACTAGCCAAACCCTGCACTACTTGGTGCATCCTGTCAGAGTAAAGAAGGAGGGGCTTATGCTGTGTTTTTTTCCTGAAGTCACATCTTCACATTGTGATTTTTGAAGGTTATTTTGTTTGAGGGCTGGTGTGGCAGGCACTGAAAACATTTTATTTAAGAGCCAAACCAAGCTTTATAATATACATTATAAAATTCTGTAAAATAATACTTTTAGCTTAATGTATTTTATAAATCTTCTCCCTCCGAAATGGAAATCTTATGAAAACAAATTATGTGTATTGTTACACCCCACCAAATCTGACTGACTTCATCTTTACACAAAACTAGAACTCAGATCATTAAATTCATCTCTTGATAAACCAATTCCTTTCAGACCTTACATAAAGCTGAATGATTTTACCGACACTGGAAATGTCAGTTTGAGCCAGGTATCTTGAGCTGTGCTTAGGTTGGTTGGAGGTGACACAGCATAAGCTGAGTAGTAATGAGGTGATGACCACTGCATGTGTCATGGCTAGTGCCAGACAGCACCCTCAGGAGAGCAAGCAGAGCCAGACAGCAGTGGCGTCAAGCCTACAGAAAAGCACACTGCCAGGCCTGCTGAACCTGATGTCAATGAAAGCACTATTTACTCTTAAATTCTACAAAAGCCTCTGACTTCAAAACAACTCGATTCAATTACAATTCTTTAGGAAATTATTCAATTCATCACAAAGTTTCACATTTCACTCTGATTTGGTTAAACTACGATTCCATAGGAAACAATTAAACTCACCATGAACTCTCAAATTTCACCATGATGACAACGTGATTACAACCTTTTAATAAACGATTCAGTGCATCATGACATCTCAGATTTTACCACAATTTGATTCAGTTTTGATTCTTTAGGAAATGATTCAATGCATCATGACATCTCAGATTTTACCACAATTTGATTCAGTTTTGATTCTTTAGGAAATGATTTAATGCATCAAGAAATCTTAGATTTCACCAAGGTTTGATTTTATAAAGATTCTTTAGGAGATTACTCAATGCATCCTAAAATCTCAGATTTCACCACAACTGATTCAATTATGACTCTTTAGGATTCAATGCATTATCAAATCTCAAGTTTCATTATGATTTGATTTGGTTCCGATTATTTAAGAAATTATTCAGTGCATCATGAAATCTCACATTTCACCAGTTCAACTGTAATTGTTTAGGAAATGAGTAATTAAAACTCAGTTTGTTTATTACAAGAGGGACTATTTAGTGGAATATAGCCAACAATAACATCCTTTTATTTTTAAATGTATGTGTAAAAATATTTTGGCCAAACACAGCTTTGAATATTGAATTTTATTATAACTGATTAGAATCCATTCTAACGTTTCATAATCAATGCAGCCATTTTTACACCCCATCAAGCCAGCAGTAATCCACTGTTAACACATGACATTACTCTCACAAGAACTGTTTGAGGTCGTTTGGCGGCCTGCCCTCACAGAATGTCCTTGACCCAGACCCTTTCCTGTTCCCCCATTCAACCTTCATGCAGAAAGAATGGAGGGAAAACCTTTTACATTTGCTTTTTCCCACGCTCAGATAAAACAAACTACCTAGTGAGTTACTGACTGAGTCAATGAAGCTGTCATGATACAAGACTGTCCACTGAGCCTGAACAGTGCTGCTACATCTCTTTCACGGCCGTCTCCCTTGACCAAAGAGCATTAGGCAGATTCTTCATTTTAACCTCCCCCCTCTCGTTAGACAATGAAGCAGATACACAATCCGTAGCATGCTGACAAAGCCAAATGAGTCCCACTGGACTTAAGAGCTAGCAGGGGTCACAAACATTTATAAAAGCTCAGTCACAGGGGTCCCGTGTTTTTTTTATTCAGAGACAGAGGAAACAACAGCATTCAGAACCTAATCATTTGAAAAGTTATGTCCATTTGTCTATGGATATGCATAATAATTTGCAAATTTCTTATTACCTTTTCATTTTGTTTTGTGTGAAGAAGCAGTGGATTTGTTACTTATTTATAATTCCAACAAGGCATGTAATTTTTCCAATAGGATCACCTGTTCGTCTGCACTGCTGACTATCTGTCACAAGGGCTAGAAGATTTTTATGGCCACAGATAAAGCCACCAACTGTATCTACACCACTGACTGAACCTGCTTTTTCAGTATTTCACCTGGAATTTAACCTGAAACTATACAGCCTACTCTACGAATATAAGAGAGAATCAGTCTTTTACAATGTCCCTTTAAAAATACAATATGTGTCCAAAAGTTTGTAACACATCCAATGTTTCCTCTGAGATCAAGGGTATTAATAAGGAGTTTGTCCCCCTTTGCTGCAGTAACAGCCTCTACTCTTTTAGAGAGGCTACACTAGATGTTGGAAGACCACTGTGAGGATTTGCTTGCATTCTGCCATGAGAGAAGTAGTGAAGTCAGGTACTAATGTCGAATGATTCATTCTAGACCACAAACACCACCTCCAACTCATCCTGAAGGATTTGGATGGCGTGCTCCATCACTCCAGAACATGCAGGCACTGCTCCACAGCCCAGTGCTGGGGGCTTTATATTAAGGCAGCCTGATTATTTTGGTCAATACTAAGATCACGATTATTCAATTTATCGATTAATTCACAATTACTCTGACTTTGGAGACATAATGAATTGAATTTTATTATAAATAAAAAAATAAAAATTATAAATTATTTTTTTAAAAAAGTAAACAATTATAAATAAATAAAATAAAAAAGATTTAAATAAATAATCTAAAAATAATAAATAAAAATAAGTAAGATCAACTACATTCTAGTACACTTTCACAACCTAATGAAAATTGTTAAACATATATAAAAATAAAAAATGAAAAAAGGTTTTACCAAATTAAATTTGATGATTTTGGCCTTTCAGCAAGGGGTGAAAGCCCACCACTGCAAAGTAAAGGGGTGCACTAGATTTATAACACAAGACAAAACGAGAGCATCAATGCAAAATGGAATGTGGCGCAATAATTGTTTTATCTCAGTTTTATCTTGTTTTCATAATCGTTGGAAGCCAAAATCATAACTGAACATAAACGATTAATCGCCCCCTACTTTATACCTCTCTAGGCGACGCTTGGCACTGAGCATGGTGACCTGAGGTTCATGTGCGGCTGCTCCAGAGGGCCATTCTATTGGCCATGCTTTGCTACGGAGATCCTTCAAGCTGTGTATGTGTAACCGAACACCTCCGTCAACGATGGGAGCAACTTAAAGGAGCTGAATTTACTAATTAGAAGGGCTGTCTGGATACTTTTGGACATGTAGGGCACGTCCAGTGACGCTAATTGAAGAAATAACTTAAGACATGTGAAGATAAGGTACATAATGTTAATTATTCTGTAAGCAGTTTCCATCTGTAGTGTCACTGAATTCGTTGCCTCACACTTCCTTGGCACAAACACTTACTACTTCAGGCACTTCACAGCAACATCTACCTCAGCATCACCCACACCAACACAATGCCACACAAATGGCCCCCAAACGGCGAAACAAATGAAAATATGACCCACCAAAGCTGATGTATGCAGTGTCTATACTCAAACTGATAACTCCCACGTTGCTGTCATGTGTTTATTCCTTTCTCTCAGTCTTTACTGAATGCAGTTTCTTCAAACACCCAGGCTAAACCTGCAGTAGCTTTCACAAACGGCACAGGACAGAAACTACAGCTACAGCTAATGACTCAGTAGCATTTCAAAGAGAGTGTTAAATTATATAGTAAGAAAAGTGTGATAGAAACTGTGTTTTCCTCACTCCCAGAGCTTACAGTACACTGTGAGGGTCACACACTTATGGTCACACAAAATCACACAAAAAAGAGCCCTTACCTCTGCTGTCCTCATCCATGTTCAGAAAGTAGCTGGAAAGGAACTGATATAAACAGCTTATTGCGAAGGAGAGGAAAAGGGGGAAACCCAAGCGGCACAGCAGTTAGCCTACAGTCACTTTGCTCCTCATTCACATTTGTGGTCCAGCTGCTGCAGCTGAAACGTTATCAGCAGTAATGCGGTCATATCCTCTCAATGCGAGCATCGAAAGAACAAAACGTTATTTTCGCGTAAAATGATGTCCAGTGTCCACGCTTCCTCTGTTCAGCAGCAGCACATCGCCGTCCACAGTAAAAGGGCTTAAAGACAGACAGCAGCCGCTTCGTGTGGGTGGGGCCACTGAATGCTAACGTCATCGTTAAGCCACACCCCCTGCACACAGAAAAACACCCAAAAACACTTCAAACACAGTCCTTTCAGTACGAATGCACAGTTAATATCGATCCTTCTTGTTCTCCATTTATGTTATGTTTTTCTCTCCTTCTTCGCTCTGCTCAGTTGTTATTATTGTTGCTATAACATCACTGTGTTACATTTTGGTATAAGATTGTAAATACATTTATTTTAAAAAGTGTACAGTGTACGGCCTGGTAAACAATATGTACGTCCAAAGAAAATTTATATGCTCTCTGAATTTGACTGTCCCCTACCAGTGATAAAACATGACTATGATGAGTTATCACTGTATTAATTGATGAGTGTTTATTATTGATACACTCTTAAAAAATAGTTCTTCAAGGGTTCTTTAGTAAAAAAAATCGTTCTACGTAGAACCATGAACACTCAAAGAACCCGTTGCATGATTAAATGGTTCTTTGCATGGTGACATGTTTCTTCAGATTGATGGAGAATGTGCTGTAAATGGTTCTATATAGAACCTTTTTGATAAGGGTTTTCATAGCACCAAATGAATGACACTTCGGCCCATTAATAAGACTTTTCTGAATTAGAGCAAGTGTTAGAGTAGAAAACTGCACAGGATGCGTGACTTATACGAACAGCAGAACCCTTGTTGGTGTTATACAGTTTCTTTTGAAGGTTCTTTCAGGGACACAAATTTCAGGATGTTTAACTGTAAATGCTAAAATAATTTTAAAATAATAATCTGAAAAACAGAAGTTTCCAAAATTAGATTTCTTAAAAACGTTTCAAGGCAATAGAAAAAATTAGACACCTAACAACCATGCAAGACCTGGTAGGCCACCAAAACTGTCATCATCAGATAAACAGTAACAAATGGAAACTGTAATAAATGTAAAGAGTGGACACGCTAAATCAGTGGTCTCCAACACTGGTCCAGGAGAGCTACCTTCCTGCAGAGCCTAGTACCAACCGAAATTTGCCACACCTGCTCCAGCCAATCAACCTTCTGAAGTGCCTGGTTGGCTGGATTAGATGTATTAGAGTTAAATAAGGGGCAGGGTAGTATACGGGATACAGGTTGGAACTAAACTCTGCAGGAAGGCAGCTCTTCAGGACAAGGGTTGGAGAACACTGCATTGAATATTGAAAAAAATATATTATATTTAGTTATTGAGACTTCTGTCTAATTTTCTGTTTGAAATGTTTTCTGCTTGTTTTCCTGATGCTGAAAAATGAATCTGTGCTTAATAGTTGTTTTGGCTGGAAATTAAATAAATGAAGGGGGGTCTCTGACTTTTGCACAGTACAGCATTTTATGCATATTCTGGCTGGCCATAATGGTAAATGGTTCCTTGGATTTGTGACCACAAGACATCTGTTGTGTTTCCAGTATTAATCATTAACTGTGTGTTAACGGATGAGCAGCTGCTTCTGAGGAGCTTGAGGAATTGGTGTGAAACGATACTGCATTGTAATTGATTAGAATTTTAATTTGGCCAAAAATCTAATTCATACATTGTTAAATATTGTAATAATCAATTGTAATGTCAAATATTACAAAATCAATGCTAGTGAATAATCACTTGCATTTTTCCACTCCTACTACTGGAGCACGTCATGGGTCACATAATCATAGCAGGACTTCAGAGGAATGGATGTTGTTAAGACTGGGAATCTGAAAGCTAAACATAACAATGACCGCAACAAAGTCTTACAGGAACTTGGGCGTCTTTTGGACAGCCCTGACCGGGACCTGCCCAAGAGAAGTGCTGTCATTTATTCCAGCCTTCATGACTCATGCACATCCAAGGTGCTCCAAGCTATCGTCCAGCGGATACTTTACCTCTGGAGTCTGTTCCTGTGTTTAGCCAAGAATCTTTTAGCAGCTGATACATCAAATATGTTTCTAATCTTGTGATTTCTAGAAAAAGAAAATATCTGCCTATTGCTGCTGATGATGTGCTCCATTTTCCGCTTAGGACAGAGCAGGGTTTCTGTGGGTGTTCTTAAGAATTAGGCTACAATAATGGGAAGTCACCCCCCCACAAGCCACACCTTTAACATTTCCACCCATTCAACACCCAGCGGTCTCAGTCGGAAACACAGTCCTGCCTAAAGGACTATAGGAAGCAAGATTGAGATTATCTAACAGTGTGACATCATTTGGCTTTGAACCGATCAGTACCATTACATACATACATACATATTTCTCCAATTTCTTCATTTTGGAAATGATTTGTTCTTATTTTGGATCATTTCTATTCATCCATCCATCATCATGTGTTCACACAAGGTAAGGGGCAGTTTATGTGAGTTTCAAAGTTTCTCAGTGTTGGTTCCCCTAGCTGCCACAGACTCTGATCATTAACAATGACAAAAGCCTTTAATGAGTAGATCAAATCCACATGAGTGTCGTCTGAACACCAGCTTGCTTCAGTGGAAGGAATAAGAATCTGACCTTTTTGTACAAAGGCCTTAACATGGTCAGCAACACAAATTTGCTTCAATTTGCGACCTAGAAATAGTGCAGAATACTCAATGTTTCTTCCTCATTTTACTTGTCAAAGTTTTTGTTTGATTCATTTTGTTGTTTTGTTTTAATTCAAAAATGTTCTGTTATTTGTTTCCAAGATTTAAAAAAAGTATCCAAGATTTTCAGTGTGATCTCAGAATTCTGGACTCCACCGTAAATGCTCTATACACACACACACACACACACACACACACACACACATGGATATATATGTATGTAAATGTATAGAGCTATTTATCTGGCCAGTAAGCATTTATTTATTTGTTAACATTACAAATAATAGTTTTTTGAACTCCAATTTTGGAAACTTGTACTTAATGAAACTGGAAATTAAATAAATGAAGGGCGGTTTAGAACTATTACAAAGTTTATAACTACTACTGCATTAAACTTCAACATTCCAACAGGCAGATGAAACTAAATTGTATAAATAAGATGTTTCATGTCTGTCTTGGTACTTTGACATCTATCACACTAATGCCTCTAAACTTTGAATGCACCATCACAAGAATTAACAAAGTAATCACCCCAGGTCATGGACACAGAGAGGAAGAGCAGAGTGCAATGCCATCTCTATGCGTGTGTGATGTGCTGGAGAAAACAGCGACTGTGGGGTGGGAATGACATCCTGCATGAGGAACAGATGACACATCCGCTATAGCTCAGGAAGAGCCTGCTCTGACAACTTTTCCTTTTTTTCCCCTAAAAAAACACAAACCTTTCTCTCTGTGTATTGTGCAGATCTGGATGTCTGTCTGTGGACAGAGCCACTGTTTATGCTATATCACAAAGAAACTGATTTGTAGAACTAAAAAGCAAAAGAATTCTCAGTTAAAGCCATAACTTCACATACACAATTCTCCCCTTACTTTTAGAGCAGTTGCCTACCCAAGAGATGTTTGGTGTCTAAAGTTTGCTCTTTAAGTTTTACACTGGAGCTATGAGGCAAATGCAGCTTCCAAGTAAAGGAAGTCTACATGCACCCATTAGCATCATAGAAACACCTAAGGCTGCCTGTCCATGGAGACAGATTCAGGGTTAAGTGGTCAGCTGGTCAGCCATGGTTGTGCATGGCCATGGCTTTGTAGTGAATAGCCAAGTTTCTCTTGACTTTATGCAATATTGTCTAATTTAACATCTGGGTATCATCATTGTCCAAGAAAAACGTATGTGTAAGATAGTAACTTTAGAGGAGGAAGCAAGAACGTTCTTAACTTTGAAGCAGTAATCTGATTTTGGAGCATTTGCATTGGTCCAGCTCAAAGTTTAGGTCTCAAATGCAAAATAGGGCAGTTGTGGGCTGGAGGTTAGGGAACCAGCTTTGTGACCGGAAGGTCATCGGTTCCATCCTCTGAGCTGACAGTATGTGACTGAAGTGCCCCCAACTGCTCCCCAGGCTGCCCGCCACTCCGGGCAAGTGTGCTCACTGCCCCGTAGTGTGTGTGTTCACTAGTGTGTATGTGGTGTTTCACTGCACGGATGGGTTAGATTACAGAAGTGAAACTTCCCCATTGTGGGACTAATAAGGGTCACTTAATCTAATCTTAAAATCATCATTATACTGATGAAGATATGATGACAATGGTAGATAATTCACTTACATCCTCAGGTGGCATGTCCTTCACCAAGTTTTGGTTGAGTTCTCTTTGAATACTGTTTCAACAAACTCGCAAACAACAGATTCATCCACTCCTGGGGGTCGTAAGCACAGCCAACATTACAAAATGTTCTTCGGCACATTGCGTGCAATTACATATTTCTATCAGAGAGGTCTCCAAATCCCCAAATCTTATACAGTGCAGCTTTAACTATGTTTATTTATTAATTTATTTATTTATTTATTTATGTATATTCAAATTCGATGCATTTTGGAGTTGTTCAACAGAGTAGGCCTTTTTTTTTGTTGAAAACCATATATAATTCTTTGTAATCATCTGCAGTGCATGATGCACCATGATTGGAATATTACAAAAATCAAAAGAATACCACAAACATTCATTAAACATCTTGTTTAGTTTTTTGTATAAAATGAAATAAAAAGAACCTTCCACAAAAAAGTGTAAGGGATACTTGGGATTATGGTATAGAAGTGTAATATGTATGTAAATAATAAGTAATAAGTATGTAAATCTCTTTATCTGAGACGTAAGCATTTGTTTCCTTGACAAAAACACTAACAGTATAATAAATACAAATAAATAAATAAACATTACATTTTGATTGTATGTGTCAGTGTGTTAAACATTTCCAAACCTCTCCTTGAGGAAATCCAGTATTTACATTTACAACCCAGTTCCCAGTTTCTCCCACCTTCAAGATACATCATCAGAAGGGGGTTTTCCTAGTTTTTAAATCAGAAAAACTCACTTATGATATGTTACATTTTTCATTTTGGCCAAAGTGTCCCTTTAACCATTTCCAAAGC